CTTAGCCTCCCCCCTCAGGTTCTCTGGTGTCCTATCTCCTCAGCCTCCCCCTCTTGTTCTCTGGTGTCGTGTCTCCTCAGCCTCCCTCCTCTGGTTCTCTGGTGTCCTATCTCCCCAGCCTCCCCCCCTCTGGTTCTCTGGTGTTCTGTCTGCTCAGCCTCCCCCCTCAGGTTCTCCTCATTTCTGATGCACTGCACAGTTTCTCAGAGCACTAGTGTGGTGTTTTATAAAATGCCTCTCAGTTGGCATCTGTGTCTACTTTTCTTCTGACTAGACTAGGCTTATGGATGTGTTGTTTGGTTTTTTTAATAATTTTTTATTTTATTTTCCATGTATGAATGTTTTTTTGCTTGCAAGCTTGTATGTACCCCACATGTGTGCTGTACTCCTTGAGGCCAGAAGAGGGCACTAGAGCCCGTATAATTAATACAGACCATGATATATAATATATAATACAGACCATTGTGAGTTGTCATGTGTGTGCTGGGAACTGAACCAGGATCCTTTGCAAGAGCAGCAAGTGCTCTTAACTGCTGAGCCATGTCTCCAGCCCTGGGCTTATGTGTTTTGAGGGAGGTGACCACAGAGTTCAAGCACCTTCTCATCACAGCACTTTGAGAGCCCAGACTGTCATATACCTCCTCACTATGATGCTGATGTTGACCTTGATATCCTGAAGCGTCCACCGAGGTTCTGTATGGTGAAGTTTCTTTCCCTTTCTTTCCTTCTCAGAAGCTAGAACACCTAAACAGAAGCTCACACTTAAAGAATGAAAAGTTATGCTCCACTGCCTTGAGTGCAGAGTGTCTTAAGAATCATGGGGACAATTCAGCCAGAGAGTGGTCTGTATTCTCTCCATGTCTGTCTCTGTGTAGTTTATTGGTAACAATATGGACTCGCGCACATTTGTCTTTGATCTTGAGTTACGGTGTCATTGCGCATTATTCCAGCTATAGTCAACAGACGTTCGCAGCTGGCTGCTGCGTCTAGCTAACAAATCCTTGGGTTGGTTTGTTTTCAAATCTTCTTGAGAATGTTCTGGTTTTGAATCATTACAAGATACTCCTGGTTCATCTGGTATAATTCCTGCTCCGATCTTAGAATCCGCCCCATTGTAGCTTGTGCGTGTGCACTAGTATTGTATCTAAAAAGCAAATTGAGGGCCGAGGAGATCACTTCATCCTCAGATCAGTCTCCAGAATTCATTTTAAAAACAAGTCCTGACACGGCAGGAAGTACTTCTAATCCCAGCCCTGGAAACAGAGACAGGTAGATCCCTGAGACTGGCTGGCCAGCCTACTGTACACTTTGAACTCCCAATTAGGACTCTGCCTCAAAACCACAATGGAGCCAGATGGCGGTGTCGCACACCTTTAATCCCAGCAATGGGGAGACAGAGGCAGGTGGATCTCTGTGAGTTCGAGGCCTGCCTGGTCTATAGAGCGAGTTCCAGGACAGGTTCCAAAGCTACATGAAGAAACACTGTCTTGTGTACCATGTCTAGGCCTTCCTTCAAGGGGTGCTGAATTCCCGAGAACTAGATTTATAGGCAGCTGTAAGCTACTGTGTGGATGCTGAAAACAGAATCCAAGTCCTCTGCAAGGGTAACAAGTGCTCTTAATCGCTGAGTCATCTCTCCAGCTGCTCCTGTTTTGTTTTGGAGAAAGGGTTTTATGTATCCCAAACTGGCCTCAAACTCACTATACAGCCAAGGACGACCCCGAGCTTTTGGTCCTCCCAAATGCTGTGATGGCAAGTTTGTAACACTACACCAAGTTTATGGGGTCCTGGGAATCAAGTCCAGGGCTTCATGCATGCTAGGTAAGCTCCCTACCAGGTGAGCGTCATCCTCAGCCTGTGTGTAAGTAGATGTTGAACATGACAGGCAATAAATTACATGCTGTGCCTTTTCCCTTCCAACCATCAGCTAGGATTTCTCTTTGGCTTCTCGGATTTAGTGGACTTTAAATTTTGTTACTACATTTATTTATTATTTATTTACTTATTTCTTTGCTCTTAGAAGAAGGTTTTGTTTCATTCTAAATCCTTGGTTCACCTTTGTAAAAGGTTTTCTGTCCCCTGAAAATAGGTTTCTCCACTGACACAGTAAGCCAGATGAAGCTGAATTGAAAAAGTGTAACAACAGCTTTATTTGAGCAAAGCAACTCCCAGGTAGTTCTCCAGTCCCATAGGCGTAGATGGAGAAGCTGCTCTCACAAACAAAAGCACAGAGATTCTGTAGGTTGTAGGGGTGGTGTGATGATGTGTCTTCCAGAAGCTGGGGTTGTGCCCAAGTATGCTTAAAAGCTCAGCACTTTAGGGGTTTAGGCAGGGACTTGGGCAGCTGGCAACTTCAGTGGAGGAAGCTGCAGTAGCCACAAAGAATGTAGAACTGGGCTTTTTGGTGCCTTTCTTCAGAGGCTCTGTGAGCCAGCCAGGTTTGGAGAGAGAGGGAGACAGGAATGTATGAGCTTTCCAGATCGTGCAGGGGTGAATTGGAGGTTCCAACCAAACACTTTGTTCCCTTCATATCTTAAATGCATTGCTCTAGTCTTTCAGCACAAAGCATTGTTATTGAATGGGAGCCAGGAGGGGCCAACAACACCAGAAGAAAACCCACAGAATCAACTAACTTGGGCTCTAGGAGCCTGACCCATCTCCAATAATCTGTGTATCACCACAAGGCTGTGGCTTACCGGATATGTCTCTGGGGGGGGGGCTACATGGCTTCCCTCTGACTCTGCCCTCTATCTCCCAGCATTCAGCCTAGTTTTCCCCACCTAGTTCTGTTCTGCCCTGCCATTGGCTCAAAGCAGTTCTTTATTAACTAATGGTAATCACAGCAAACAGAAAGAAATCCACATCAGTGTATCTTGGTCTTTCTTAGTTCCCAGAGGCAGCAGCCTGACTCAGCTCGGGGGCAGGTACGTCATCATAACTTACATTGTCATCTGCCTTTCCACCGGCAGCTGTGCGGCAGGTGCACCCTTTAAAAGTGCCCACCACAGTTCCTTCTTTTGCTTCTCTTGCCTTTCTTATCTCTTGTCTCTCTTCTTGCCTGCTCTCTTTGTCCGTCTGTCTTCCTCTCATGTCCCCAGTCCAGCTGGGTCTTCTGCTCTTTCACTCCCCACCCCCAGTCTCTCCCAATAGAGTCCTTGCACCAACTCTTTTGGGAGCTGCGGGCTTGCTTAGTGGCATATTTGGCAGGGCCTTTCTATGCTTAAATCATTACAGTCTTTTTGTGGGGCTCCTAACAGTAGAAGCAGGAGCTGTCTCTGACTCTGTTACCTGCATTTGGACCCTTCCCTCCTACTGGGGTGCCTCATCCAGCCTTAATAGGAGAGAAGGGGTATCTACTGCAACTTGAGATGCCATGGCTGACTGATATACTTGGGAGGCTTGCCCCTCTCTGAAGAGAAAGGAGAAGGAGTGGATGGGGGAAAGGGAAGGAGGGGATGGGGGAAAGGGAAGGAGGGGATGGAGGGAGAGAGAAGAAACTGGTCGGGCTGAAGAAAAATTTTAATTAATTAATTAAAAAATGGAAAAAAAGATAGAAAGAAAAGCCTCATGATAATCTTCACACCTCCCCACAAGGAGTCTCTTGGTTTTTTCCTGCATATCCAAAGAAACGTGTTTATGTTAAGTCCATTGAGGACCTAGATGATGTTTCCCGCTGGCCCCGCTGGCTCGCCATTCTTAGTACCCTACTCTTTCAGCGTGCAGTGTCAGTCTTGGTATCTTGGGAAAGTGAACCACAGCGTTCAGCATCGGTACTGCTCCTTTTCTTTGTTCGCCTTCTCCAGAACTCACTGCTGTCAGTCTACTGCTATTGCTCCCAGGCTTTCGGTATTCTGGTGGTGCTGGGTTTAAACCCAGGGCTTGGCACACGCTAGGTAAGTCCTCTAATACAGAACCACATCCCAGTTCTAGTTCCTTCTTAGTGCATAGGAATAGGAAATTATTTTTTAGGAAGATTAAAACTATTAATAAATTTAACTTTAACATTGCAAGGTTATTACTTCTGTGATTTTTTTAAAAAAGAAATTAATATGTGTATGTGTGTGTGTGTGTGCCAACAGCACGTGGGTGCTGCTGAATCTTATGGGTGGATGTGAGCTACCAGATGCATGTGCTAGGACCTGACCTGAACTTCATTATTCTGCAAGAGCAGCAAGTGCTCTTAACAACTAAGTCACCTCTCCAGTCCCTACTTTATACTTTTATATATTTTCTGGATGGATTTGTCCCTTCCGACAAACCAGGAGGCTCACACCACATCTACTGTCTGCTCCCACAAGACCTGTGGACACTGGGACAGACTCTGACTCTAAATGTTTATGTCCCACATCTTAGAAAAGGAGATCTTTTTTTTTTTCTTTTAGCATCCTTTCCCCTGGCTTAGAGAACAAAATCCATGAGTTCTGCTGCCCCTTTGCCCCATCTCTCAAAGTACATGCTATTCAGTATCAGTGTGGGAGAGGAAAGGGGACAACTTTGGGGCAATTTTCTTACCTTCTCTGGTCCTCGGTTGTTTATTATTTGTCTTAAGACTGGGTCTTCCTATGTAGTCCAAGCTGACCTTGAACTGGCCATGCTCCTGCCTCAGCCCCTCCAGTGCTGGGATTACAGATATGAACCAATACACCCAGCTTCTGAGCCTTAGCTCTCTGGTTTGGAAAAGAGGAGGGATGGTATCCCCCACACAGGGATGCCTGAGATGTTACCCACACACAGGGATGCCTGCGATGGTACCCACACACAGGGATGCTTGCGATGGTACCCACACACAGGGATGCCTGCGGAGGTACCCAAACACAGGGATGCCTGAGATGTTACCCCCACACAGGGATGCCTGAGATGGTACCCACACACAGGGGTGCCTGCGGAGGCGTAGGGTCAGTGACTGTAAATCCCATGGTACCAGTACAGTACGCTATCTGGTCGGCCCGGAACTCCTACAATTACTAACATTTCCTGGTTGTTTTCTTTTTGTTCCACAGGAAATTTGTGAGAATCCCCGATTTATCATTGGTGGAGCCAACAGGACTGACATCTGCCAAGGAGATCTAGGTAGGAAGCTCCCGCCACCATGTCCTGCCCGATGCCCCATGGCTAATCAACAGGTCCCATCTCTATTCAGGATGTAAAGAAACCAAATTCTGTTTTCTCTTTTAATGCATCTCGGAATCTTTTTAAAAATTATTTATTTAATTGTGTGTGTGTGTGTGTATATATATACATATCCACATACCTGTGAAGGTCAGAGAGCAACTTGTGGGGGGACAGTTTTTTCCTTCTGCCAAACTCAGATCAAACTCAGATCATCATAGGAGACATTTCCACACCCAGGTCCTGCTGGGGAGGCTCAGGTCCTGCTGTCCTGGGGAGGCCCAGGTCCTGCTGGCCTGTCATTTGGGTGTGGCACAGCCCTTCCTCGCCTACCACCTTTTGTTCTGGGGGCACCCTCCCTGGGGCAGACTGTGAAGGCAAATTGGAGGCGTCATTAAAAGAAAATTTAAAACTTAACCCCCCCCCCCCAAAGGCAAGAACAGCTGAAAAGCATCAGCTTAGTTTGTTCCAGAAAAAGAGACTGAGGACCTCCTGGGTGTTGGGGCTCCAGCACCGGGGGACACTGCCTGGAGAGTGTGGACCAAGCTCTGAGCCCCTCAAACCAATACATTGCTTCCAAGGACAGGCTGCGGATCCATAGGAAGGACAGGTGTCTTGGGGCAGTTGGTGGTCTCTCCTTACCAGCAGGGTGGTAGCTAGCCCGTGTCCCTAGCAGATAGATGCGAGACTGTCAGGCACTGGGTATGTCCCTTTGCCAGCCTGAGTGCCCTTTGCAGACTGGTCCTGCAGCAACTAGCATATACACATCATGCAGATTTTCTTGATGCCGGAAGGGAAAATGGGCTCACCCAGCAAAGGTGAGCTACGATCACCTACAGATCTGTCTCCAAGAAGGAAGTGAGTCTCTTTTGTAAAAGGAGGAATCAGTTGACCTTAGGAAAACATCCAGTCCTGAGAGAATGTTATCTGTTTCTCACTCTCCTTGCCAGGAGAGGACAGACAGGACATAGGGCAGTGGGAAGCATAAACATCCTAGTTCTTCAGCCAAGGGGAAACTCCTGGTGGGAGGCTGGGCCGTCTCTTTCCAGAGAGGCAGCCCCACCTGACTAACTAGGTCTGTGTTTGCATGCAGGGGACTGCTGGTTTCTTGCAGCCATTGCTTGCCTGACCCTGAACGAGCGACTGCTTTTCCGAGTTATACCCCATGATCAAAGTTTCGTTGAAAACTATGCGGGGATCTTCCACTTCCAGGTGAGGAAAAGGGGATGTGGTTGGGATGGCAGCCAGGTCTCCGTGGATGCCATAGAGATAACCACAGAGAAGGTCGGGAATGCTCAGTGTTGCCTTAAGAAATGAAAACAAAGTAACCTTCTCTTGGGTTACTTTAACCAAGAGCCAGTCCACTTCTCCCTTGCTGTATGTCTTCTGTCTGTTCAGTCTGTGGTTACTGACCTGTCTGTAGTCTGTCTGTTTTGTTTCCTTTGTTGTTGTTGTTGGTTTGTTTTTATTGTTTGTTTGTCTGTTTTTGGTTTTTGAGACAGGGTTTCTCCTTGTAGTTTTGCAGCCTGTTCTAGAACTTGCTCTGTAGACCAGGCTGCAGTCAAACTCACAGGGATCCACCTGCCTCTGCCTCCCGAGAACTGGGGTTAAAAGTGTGTGCCACCACTGGCAGGCATAGTCTGTCTGTTTTATGTATGTGACTTGTCTGTCCTTGTTGCCTTTATGTGGTATCTGATGTATGTGTGTGTTGGCTGCCACACCTATGTCTGTTCTCATCTCTCTCTGTTGTTTGGTTTGGTTTTTTGGTTTTTTGAGACAGGGTTTCTCTGTAGCTTTGGATCCTGTCCTAGAACTAGCTCTGTAGACCAGGCTGGCCTCGAACTCACAGAGATCCGCCTGCCTCTGCCGCCCTAGTGCTGGGATTAAAGGCATGCACCACCACCACCCGGTTCCCTGTGCCTGTTTTATACATGTCTGTTGCCTCTGTGTGTGTGTGTGTGTGTGTGTGTGTGTGTGTGTGTGTGTATCTCAGTCTATGCCTGCCTCTAAAGAGGGCTTTGCTTTGTATTTACTGAATGGCACAGAAAGCACGGCATGGTAAAGGAATGAGAAATTCCTTGCAATAATCTTGAACAGAGTTTTACGAGGAAAGAAGTTGTGTTTCTGACCCCAAATCTCCCAGAAGAGCACTCAGAACCACAGACACACTATCCTGTATCCACACATTGCTTCCAACATTTATGGGCTATTTCTTGCTTAAGGGTTGCTTCCAAACTATTGACTGTTTTTGGTCAACGATTACCACAGCATGCATAGTCTTGGGTCAGGGCATGGGAAAGTATATTACTTAAGATGGAAATTACGCATTAGTTTAGGTCGTAAAGGCTGATTGCATGGGAGATCCAAAGCATACTGAGATTGGTTACGCTGATCTCTCAAAGGCCAGTTAAACAGGCCAAGGACAGAGCAGGACAGCAGGTTAAATACATGGTCCTAGATGATCTCAAGGCAAGTTATTAACTTGGCTTCAAGGTCCAGGAAAAGTTCCGCCTCTCTGGAGTCAAGAAATATTTTCTTTTTTTATTTTTTATGGTTTATTTAACTTTATTTTATGTGCATTGGTGTGAAGGTGTCAGATCCCCTGAAACTGGATCTTTAGACAGTTGTGAGCTGCCATGTGGGTGCTGGGAATTGAACCCGGGTCCTCTGGAAGAGCAGTCAGTGCTCTTAACCACTGAGCCATCTCTCCAGCCCCAAGAAATATTTTCAGAAAATTATATGTCCACACAGCCCATCCACCCACCTCTGGTCTCCTGGCCTTGACCTCCCAGTGGGTCAGGGAGAGGGTCCAAACACTTCTTGTGGGCAGTGACCCCTTGGCTGCTCCAGGCTTATGAGAGGGCAGCTGCTGTCTGTGCTCTGTAACACACTTTCCACTGTGCCCCGCAAGGGCGGGAGGAAGGCATCCTGTCTAATGCTCTGTGTCTATTTTGTCCTCCAGCTGGCTAGCTGCTATGTGATTGCTGCAGCCCCCTCAGACAGGTTCCTAAGATGCCTGCTCTGAAGGTGGTGGGGACCTTTGGGTCTTTACTGGGAACCCTGGTTCATGAACTGCAGCTCCCATACTCTGTACCCCTGACAGCTAAGTCTACATCAGGTCTATCCCTGCAAGAAAATTCTAGTTGTCTGGGCATTTAGTTGCGAGTTTGACCCAGACCTGAAATTATTGGTTCTAGGATTAATTTATCCACTAGAACTTTTCTGGGTACTGATCATTTGACTCAGAGACAAATTCTAGACTGGAAAAGAAAAATAGAAAAAAAGAAAGAAAGAAGAAAAGAAAGAAAAACAGACAGACTTAAGTTAGCCCAACAGCTTCATGAAATTTCAACTCAATCCTGGGCACATACTGGAATCACTTGGAATACATGAAAGTACTTATAGCAGGTCTGTCCCAGATCTATAGGCAAGGTAGGAAAGTGTCAGGTCCTAAGATAGTCACAGAGTGTCCAGAACTGGGTTGGGCTTTTGGCAGACATGTAGTTTCTGTCTCACATGCGTAGCTCACAGTGTATTTAGAGATAGAGTCCCACACTCCAAAGCAAGCTTCAGGTGCAAAGCCTGGGAAATGGTAGCTGAGGCTCAGAGCCCCGCGGGATGTGGACTCGGGTCAGGGCAGACAATGGATGTGATGGTATTCCTCGCTTCTTGCAGTTCTGGCGCTATGGAGACTGGGTGGACGTGGTTATTGATGACTGTCTGCCAACATACAACAATCAGCTGGTTTTTACCAAATCCAACCACCGCAATGAGTTCTGGAGCGCCCTACTGGAGAAGGCTTACGCTAAGTAAGACGACCGTTAGGATGGGAGACTGGACTACAGGTGGGGAAAGGATTTGAGAATTCAGCTGAAGTCTCAGTCACATTGGGCTAGACATGTGTACATATGCTCGTGTGTAGTGTGGGTGTTTAGCTAAGACCCTGTGTCAGCCTGAGATCAGGTCCAGGAAGTAGGAGGCCTAATTGAAAAACATAAAGTTAATGAGAAAAAATAAAGATGTGTGTGATACATCTTCGGCTTCCTGAAGCTGGCTCTTTGAGCCTGCCTTCCTGACGGTGTGTCTAGTCTGGCATTAGCTCACTGCATCTCTGGAGCTCAGCCAGGTTGTCTCTTACCTTAACTCTCTGCCTCTGCTGCTGGGCTCAGCAGGCAGTGGAAGAGTGCCTTAGGGGAATGGGGGAGTACAGCCAATGCTTCTGGCTCTCTGTGGCCTTGCGTTAACTAATCATACCTCCTGGAACTCCCAGAGTCTAGACTGGCTTTTGTCCTCTCTCCAAGGCTCCATGGTTCCTATGAAGCTCTAAAAGGTGGGAACACCACCGAAGCCATGGAGGACTTCACAGGAGGGGTGACAGAGTTTTTTGAGATCAAAGATGCACCCAGTGACATGTACAAGATCATGAGGAAAGCCATCGAGAGAGGTTCCCTCATGGGCTGCTCCATCGATGTAAGTCTGGTTCCCAGGAAGCCTTCTACTTTTAGCAACACGCTGCTCCTGCTGGGATAGGGTGAATGTTGTTTCATTTTAAGAAGCAAGAGCCAGATTGTGAGACGGCTCATTGGTAAGGGCACTCGCTACTAACCCTGGGGCCCTAGGTCTGATCCTTGGAATCCTCAGGAGAAAGGGACCTCCACACCTGTCATTTGACTGTGCATGCATCCCCACCCCTCACTAAATAAACATTAAAAAAAGGGGGGGCTGGAGAGATCGCTTAGTGGTTAAGAGCATTGCCTGCTCTTCCAAGGGTCCTGAGTTCCATTCCCAGCAACCACATGGTGGCTCACAACCATCTGTAGGGGGGTCTGGTTCCCTCTTCTGGCCTGCAGACATGCACACAGACAGAATATTGTATACGTATAAATAAATAAATAAATAAATAAATAAATAAATAAATAAATAGGAACTACCAGCAATCCCAGCAATTTGCAACAGAAGTTGAGGCAGGAGGACTGTTACTTCTGGCCAACCTGGGATGCATAGTGAAATCCCGCTTTAAAAAAAAATAAAAAGCATAAATGATTCTTGACTTTAAAATTGGCAGCTTTTCAAGGGAAATGTATTCCTGGGGGTGAGGGGTCAATAAAGACTGAGCAATGGCATTCCAAGCCCTAGAGTTCAGGTAGAAATGGATCCAGAGGCTCCACTGACAGGCCTCCTTTGTCAGACTGCTCAGTGCAAGCACACCCCCAGGCTGTAGATCTATGCCCACAGGAATGGTAGTCGCTCCCTAGCCACTGAACGATGACATCACCTCAGTCCTTGGGCTTTGTGCTACCATCTGGACAATCCCCTAGGTCCCTCTCTCAGCTTTGGCATCACCTCAGTTCTTGGCCTTTGTGCTGCGATCCCCTGAGACCCTCTCTCAGTACATCACAGTGATATGAACTGAGACAGGGACAAGGAGAGGACCCACCTGGCCTGGGCTCCGTGTAGGCTGCTTTGGGACTAGCAGTCTGGGCAATTCCTTTTCAGAGGAAGCTAGCTCCTCCTTTCTCTCCCAGCATTCCCTGAGTAGAAAGGCTTGGCTGTCAGTCAGCACAGGCCCCTACACAGGAGAGCCCACTTCCTTATCGCTCTCCCGCATCTTTTCTGCCTTTGTGCACAGTTGATATCTCCTCTTCTGATCTGTCTGTCACTCCTTTCTCCTGTCTCCTTCCCCTCCCTCCCTTGTTTTCTCTTTCCCTCTCCTGGGTTCTCTGCTCTCTTTCCCACTGGGCCTCAGGACGGCACGAACATGACTTACGGGACCTCTCCTTCGGGTCTGAACATGGGGGACTTGATTGCACGGATGGTGAGAAATATGGATAACTCGCTGCTCAGAGACTCAGACCTGGACCCCAGGGGCTCAGATGACAGACCGACAAGGGTGTGTACATCACCAGCTGTCACAACTGACCCGCATTCCATCCTGATGTCAACTCCCCAGGGCAGTCAGTGCCAACAGAACAAACTCCCTCCCCTTTGTGTGCTCTACCTGGAAGGCACACATGATGCCGAAGGACTGAGCCATACAAAAAGACAGAGGAAAATTAATAGCCTATGTTTTCCCATCTAAAGATAACTGCCCAGCATTTGCTATATGGTCTTTCTGGAGCATACTTAAACCATATTTTTGTTTTTAAATTCATCTTATTATACATTACATCTTTGCAGCCTGTCTTTTTCTTTCACTGTTTTTGTCAGATTCATATTTTTAAGTATTTTAAGTATTCTTTTATATCATTTTAGTAGCTGCAAAATATTCTAATGTGCAAATGTGTTATAATTTATTTACTAATATTCTGTTATTGAAAAGTTAGAGGATTTTTTAGGGTCTGTTTTCAAAAGTGCTATAATAAGCTTCTTAATAGAAACATCTTGGTATACATCCACAATGGCTCCCATAAGACCAAGTCCCACAGTCAAAATGGGTCAAAAGGGGAACAAAATCCAGGAGACTAAGAGACAAAGTTCCAGACTCACCTGTCAGCCTGAAGAAGGGTTCAGGAATGCAAACCCACGTGGTTCTCAGAAGCCACCCACCCCAAAGCTGTTGCTACCAGACCCCTGGTGCTGGAAGTCTGTGGAGTGCTCAGTGGGACTTCCTGGTCTACCCTTCTGCAGAAAAACCCTCAGGACTACAGCTTGATCTGGGACAGCCCTCTCTGTACTGAGTGTAGTTCCGTCACAGCAGCGAACCTTCCAGTAGTCCCAGTAGGGAGTAGGGACCAGGTTTTCTTGACTTTCATGTCCTAGGTAGATGTGAGGGAGGTAGGGTAATGTCAACAGTTTAGAGTTACAGGTTTTTTAAACCCTTTTTCTCAATTCCTTTTTTTGGGAATAGTCCACTCTGGAAGGGCTCAGGGGAAGGCAGATAGACCCCAGCTGTCCCCTCTGCTCCTCTGAGGAAGCCTAGAAAGGAGAGACAAATCCTTTCCCTCACCTTCTATTCCAGCACCCACTTTGCTCTCTGGTCATCGGGGCAGCGTGATCAGCTAGGGGGCTGGGACTGCATCTCCCCGTTGCCCTTGAAAAACCAGTGAGGTCTGATCCTGGCCATAAGGCATACTGTCAGGGAAATGAGCCGTCCTTAGTCTGAGGTAACTCAGAAGCGAGCCAGGGCCAACCCTTGTCTCCGAGCAGCAGAACCTCTATACCCCCAGTTCTGACAGGCTGTCTGGTTCTCGCTCTGCAGACAATTGTTCCCGTGCAGTATGAGACGAGAATGGCCTGCGGGCTGGTGAAAGGTCACGCCTATTCGGTCACCGGGCTGGAGGAGGTGAGTCCTGTGGAGTTTGGTGGGACACGGGAACACAGCCGAGTTGACCTCTTAAAGTCGGGACTGTCTGTGCCTTCTTCACCACTGAAAGAGGTGGCCCCGTAAGGTCCAAGCTGGCTTCCTGGGGGGAGGGGGGCAGTAATGGGACAAATTAGAGGTAGAAGAGGCTGTGGATGCCTCTCAGTTCATCTCTGTGCAAAGCGAATGTACCTGCCTGTGTGATGTGTGTGGAGGCCAGAGACCAGCACTGGCTTTCCCTGGTTCACCTTACTGTGAGGCAGTGTCTCCCACTGAGCATGGGCCTTGCTAATTGGTTAGACTGGTTGGTCAGTGAGCTACAGGCATCCGTTCCTCCCTGTACTGGGGTTACAGACATGCTTAGCTGTGCCACCTTTTCACATGGCTGCTGGGGATTCAAACTCGGGTTTCTATTCTTGCCCGGCAGATATTTCACCAACTGAGCCATTTCCCTTTCTTTGCTTTTAATGGTGAAGATAGGAGTTTTTCTAGTGTTTCCAAGGGATAATAAGAAATACTGCTTTTGTCCTACAAAGTTGGATTTGAGTATTGCCATGTTTCCTGTTCTTTCATGTTCATTTTCAATATGTTGCTTCCTGTGGGGTTGCTGGAGTTTCCTGGGTCATTTCCCAGGCAGGAACATTGTGAACTGGTAACATTCAGTTGGGTATGCTATGCCCTAAGAATGGGCTGAGGGAGTGTCTGCAACCCCCACTGCATGGGACTAAAGAATGGGGCATCTTTTTCTAGTTGGTCCACCTGTAGTTTAGCCAGCGGGAGCCCCTTTAAAAACCCACACAGAAGGCTGGTAAGGTGATCCTGTTGGTAAAAGCACTTATTGTGCAAGTCTGAAACCTGGAACCCATGGTAGAGGAGAAGACTGAGCTAGGCAGTGGTGGTGCACGCCTTTAATCCCAGCACTCAGGAGGCAGAGGCGGGTGGATCTCTGAGTTCAAGACCAGCCTGGTCTAAAGAGTGAGTTCTGGGACAAGCTCCAAAGGCACACAGAGAAACCCTATCTTGAAAAAAAAAAAAAAAAAAAGAAAGAAAGAAAGGAAGGAAGGAAGGAAGGAAGGAAGGAAGGAAGGAAGGAAGGAAGGAGAGGGCGGGGGAGAAGGCACCCTCACATCACACACATGCATGCACACGCCTGCACGAGCACACACAGTAAAATTAAGAGTTGAAGAGGAGGTGGCTCAGCAGTAAGGAGCACTTATTGCTCTTCTAGAGGACCTGGGTTTGGTTCCCAGCACTGTTAGGCTGGTCACAACTACCCATAACTCTAGTTCCAGGGGATCTGACAGCCTCTGGCCTGCTCAGGCACATGGCATGTGGTGCACATAACTCATACATCCACATAAAGAAAAAGTAACAAAAGAGAAATGAAGGAAAATCCACACAGAAATGCTTAATATGTTTCTAGAGCCTCACCATAAATGCTCACCTTCCACCAACACATAAAATGGCCGGGCTCCTTACCTAGTCAGCAAGGGCCAGGCAGGCAGCTCTCATACTGAGTTCTTCGGCTTCTACCCCTGTTCTCAGAGCAAGTCAGACAGCCCATCTTTCCAAACTTGTTGTCTCTTTGCCCCAGGCCCTGTTCAAAGGCGAGAAGGTGAAGCTGGTGCGGCTGCGGAACCCCTGGGGCCAGGTGGAGTGGAACGGCTCTTGGAGTGATGGGTAGGTGGGGCAGACCATGGAGCAAGGGAGCCTGGGGACACACTGTTGGGTTGGAGACCAAACCATGAGAGTTGGTACTGGTGCAGCATCACCTTCAAACCAGTGGCCTGCAGAGAAGGGTACAGGTGTGGGCTCCCCAAAGGGGCCGGAGGTGGAAACGAGAGCATAATGACGATTATAGACTTGAAAGGAATGATTTTGGGGGAGAGGCAGCTCAAGACAGGGTTTCTCTGTGTAGTCCTGGCTGTCCTGGAACTCACTCTGTAGACCAGGCTGGTCTCAAATGCAAGAGATCCTCCTGCCTATGCCTCCCGAGTGCTGGGATTAAAGGTGTGCACCACCACCGCCCAGTGAAAGGAATGATTCTAGAAGCGTCTCAGTGCAGGAAGTTTGCAGGAAACAGGCAATTTCCTTCTTAGTGCCTTTGCCTCTTCTGTAAAAGAGCAGTACCAGCACTTTCCAGGTGGCTCGAATGAGGAGTAGATGTAGACTGGGGAGGTGCTTACCTGAGACAAGCTAGCCTCTCCTTTGATTGACGACCACACACGAAGTCCCGAAAGTCCTGCGAAAGAATTTTACTGCGTACCCCTGAAAAGAGTGGGCTGCGGACCACAAGACAACCACCACAGAGACGTCATCAAAGGCTCCAGAACTTCACAGCCCCTCTAGGGGTCTCCCTTCACGCTTTGGGTGGGATGGGTTACTTGGAGGTAGCGCTGTATGAAGGGCGCTCTGTGCTGTGGGAGGCCCTCCCTGTCTCATCGGCGTCTCTTCCACTAGTCCAAGTCACCTGCAACGACCTTGCTGTGTTTTCCAGACTAACTCGGTGCCTTCACACAGTTCCTGCTGACTCCTCTCTTGCAGGAGCTGCTGAATGGGGACCCTGTCTCCCACCAATCTCCACTTTGATTCCAGGGCACCCTGACTCCAAGCACACCCTGAACCCCATTTAGCTTAAGACTCTAACTCAGCGAGCCTAGAAAGTATAAAAGCATCCAGGCTTTGAGAGATGGTGCCGGCTGTTTCTGCCTGGAAAGAAGAGCCATCTACGTGCTGGATCTTAGCATCTCAGTGGGGAACCAAGCTAGCAGTTCCGATGGGCTATTTCCCGAACACATCATAGTTCAGGGTAGATGACGTACTGTTTCCCTTTTGTGGCTGAGGGAATCGAAGCTGACAGGTCGAGGGACATGTCCAAGGATACACAGCTGACTGTTATCATAGGAGAATCCCAGTTTGCCTATTTGCAGAATCGAGTTCTTAATGAGGAGGCTAGAAGACTCAGCCAGAGACAGTGAAGTCCTTGTGAACCCATTCGAGGAGTTTGGTCTTAGCATTGAAGGTGCCAGGAAATGATTGCAGGCCTTCCCACCGAGGCCTGCAGGTTGGAGGTAGCAGGTTGGAGCTGCGCTTCCATGGCTCATACTGGCTGTGGTCTAGACGCGGGCTTCTCTAACTTGGTATTTCTCTGACCCTCTGTCCCAGCCCACATTAGACCTCCCCTTCCTCATCCTCCTTCCTTAATCCCTCTATTTTCCCACCAGTTGGAAGGACTGGAGCTTTGTGGACAAAGATGAAAAGGACCGTCTCCAGCATCAGGTCACTGAGGATGGAGAGTTCTGGTAAGTTCATGACCCAGGCAGGGAGGTGAAACCTCGGTTTCCAATCAGAAGTCACCAGGCTCCATCTGCACCCTGTCTTCCCGCTTGGGATCAAGGCTCACTAAGATGAAATTTCGACGAGAGACTGCCAGGTCCTAGTAATGACTGAGCTTGGGCCCAGGCCAGTGCCCAGCAGCTCTTGTTGCAGCCACCCCTGTGCTCTGGCCACCCCTGTGCACTGGCCACCCCTGTGCACTGGCCACCCCTGAGCCAAGAGGCTTTTCTTACCTGATTCCCAGTGCCTCCCTTATTCTGGTCATGTCAGCCTTCTGAACCTCAGCTGCCAGGAGGGTCCCAAGTGACATCTTTTTTTCCCTGTGCCTAAAATGGGCCTGGCAACGATGAAATTCACAGGAACATTTTAGAGAATGATTTTCCATCCGGCACTCTCTCATCAAAGACAAATGAGGAGTCACTACTATAAGACATGCTGATAGTGTGGGGTCGCTATGTCAGGTGTAGCAGCGCCAGGCACACACCTCTAAGTCCATCATTTGGTAGACAGGCAGGAAGATCGAAAGTCAAAGGTCAACCTAGACTACAGGTTTGAAATCCTGTCTCTCAAAAGCAAATGAGCATACGCACCAGCCATTGCCAGGGTCTTCTGGGGATTTTATTGGGTGGGAGTCGCCTTTGTGTCTTCTCTTCCCCAGCCTGTGTCAGGGTCTTCTGGGGATTTTATTGGGTGGGAGTAGCTCTTGCCTTCCCTTCCCCAGCCTGTGTGAGCCTCTCCTCTTCCAACCCCTCAGGATGTCATACGAAGACTTTGTCTACCATTTCACAAAGCTGGAGATCTGTAACCTCACAGCGGACGCCCTGGAGTCTGACAAGCTCCAGACCTGGACGGTGTCTGTAAACGAGGGCCGCTGGGTGAGGGGCTGTTCAGCCGGAGGCTGCCGCAACTTCCCAGGTGGGAGACCCTTGAGATGGGGGGAGGGTCTGGGCACTACTCATTCCAGGTAGACCAATATTAGCCCGCATTTACTGAGTCTGTGCTGAGCTTAAGGCGTGCACTGTCTCATTAAATCCTCCTCGTTTAAGGAAGGGCACAATCATGCTGAGGAATCCCTAACGGGGAGCGGGTAGCAACTCCCTGGTACGTTTGCTTTAGCGAAGGTTGAAGCAGGAAGCTGTCAGAACACCATGTCAGTCCTGCTGAAGGCACTACAGCAATCCATGGCAGAAATGCCGAAAGCCTGGTCAAGTCAGGGGCTTCAGAGATGGAGGGGAGAATTCAGATTTAGGGATGGAATAATGAACAATACCAAGGGTCCCAGAACAATGACTGAGTGGACTGAGTTTGATGTGGTTGATTGTGAAGATATAGGATGCGGACCTCAGATAATGGCATGAGAAGTTTGAAGCACCCATTGACTGTCAAGGCAAGTATTTGTTACATAGAATCGAAGTCATCTACATCTTAGAGTAGACTCAGCTATATGATCAAAACTCAATGGAGAGGACAAAGAGCGATGGTTCAGCATATAAAGAGCTTGCCTGATAAACTGAGTCTGGATCCCCAGAACCCACATAAAAGTCAGGCACAGTCAGTAATGTGTTCGTAAGTCCAGAGATCTACAGTAATATGAGAAATGGAGACAAGCGAATTCCCAGCAGCTCAGAGCCTCAAACAAGGTGGAGAGAGAACTGGTGCTCAAGGTTGCCCTTTGACCCCCATGCCATGGCATGCATGCACCTGCTTTCACACACAAACACACATAATCATATACACACAATGTTCATGCGTGTTTTATGATGAAAACAAAAAGTAAATCAATGTGAGGAAACAGGTGGTAGAGAGGGGGTCGTTAGACAAGAAGCTCAGCTAAGATACATAGTTCGGGTATCATGGGAACGTAGGGCTCAGTTAGAAAGCAGAAGTCACACCTAGGTTTCTCTGTGTAGCCCTGGCTGTTCTGAAACTCTGTAGACCAGGCTGGTCTCAAATTCAGAGATCCATCAGCCTCTGCCTCCTGAGTCCTGGGATTAAAGGCGTGTGCTGCCACCACCTGGCTCATTGAGGAATTTTTACATAACCCTGGGTATATAGGTGTATAGAATTGTCTCAAAAAATTAAAAGAAAATAAACTTATTTTATTTTAAAACATTTTGTGCACTATTAAAGACAAAAGCAAATGTGTATGTTGGGGGATAGATGTACTTATTTACTTTTACACAAAGATTTAAATCTTGCTGAATATTGGATATGGTAGGACACAGAGCATCTTCAACATTTTTTCGGAATTGACGGATATTTTGATGTTATAATTGGCAATTTTGAGAATTACATTTATATAAACAAGGAGCACAAAATGGCAGCAGTAACTTTAGGATCATTTCAGAAGTGTCTGGTCATTCTGTCTTAATTCTAAGTCAAAATCCATTTAATGGGGACTGAAGAGATGGCTCGGTGGTAAAGAGCACTTACTGCTCTTGCAGAGGACCAAGGTTTGGTTCCCAGCACCCATATGACGGTCCTTATCTGACCTCCGTGGGCACCAAGCATGCATGCGGCACACAGACCTATACACATATAAGTAAAAATCTATAAGTTACCCCTCATAAAGGGGACCTAGGAGACAGGTTCCCTGTCTCATTTTCCTTCCTGTCCTTTCTCCATATCTGAACGTGGATTTCCTTTTGCGGGGCACAGACACTTTCTGGACCAACCCGCAGTACCGTCTAAAGCTCCTAGAGGAGGACGATGACCCCGATGACTCTGAGGTGATCTGCAGCTTCCTGGTGGCTCTGATGCAGAAGAACCGGCGCAAGGACCGGAAGCTAGGAGCCAACCTCTTCACCATTGGCTTTGCAATCTACGAGGTATGGAGATCCTGTCGGCACCAGCACAGGAAACATGCCCTTCCAGTGGGGAGAATCTGGCGTTTGCAGCAGGTCCTCAGTGACCACCAGAGCTCCTGCTCTCGGGCCCACACGTTTGTCACCAGCATAAATGCCATGGGGGCAGCGGGTAGGACTGCCTGGGTGGGTAGCAGGAGTTAGTCTGCAGTCCCCCTAGAGTTGCTGACATTCCCTTCTGCCAGCTCTGTACCCTCATTCATAACACAGGTGTTGTTTCTCTATTTTGCTTTCAGGTTCCCAAAGAGGTAAAGCAGCGGCGGTGGCCGGCAGTGGTGTACAGCATTCTTGGGGGTCCTAAGTCTGTCTGTGACTCCCCGAGAAGCTTCCTGGTAGGGCCGATGATCAGGGATGATAGGAGGGTACCATACCCCGTGGTGTGCATTTTCTCCCTTCCACTAGGATACACTGCCCATCAAACACAAACCTTCACACACTCATTCTTTCACATGTATACACTTACAGAGACACGTTCTAAAGGTGGTTGCTTTCTGGGATAGGGGAATCACCTCGTTCAGAACCAGTCAAGGTCCTTCCCCATCTCTGGGGCACTTGTCAACCTGAGGGATTTGGAGTTGAGGATCATCGGTTCTGGTGAGGAAAGTATATCTGTCTAGGGAAAGTATAGGCCTGACCTTCATTTCTGAATCACAAAAAATGGAAGGGGAAGTGAGATCTGGAATGTCTGTGCTGTTGAGCAATCAGAGAGAGGCCTTAGGAATTAAAAGTAGATAGGTGGAGACTGTGAAACGAATGACCAAAGAGTTAGGAAGGAGCCCTTGGAGAGGACTAAGAGTAAGTAACACGCCCTCCGGAGAGCTCAGGTGTCTTGGGTTCTTGTCCTCAGATGCATGGGAATAAGCAACACCTGCAGAAGGACTTTTTCTTGTACAATGCCTCCAAGGCCAGAAGCAAAACCTATATCAACATGCGGGAAGTGTCCCAGCGCTTCCGCCTGCCCCCCAGCGAGTACGTCATTGTGCCTTCCACGTATGAGCCCCATCAGGAGGGGGAATTCATCCTCCGGGTCTTCTCTGAGAAGAGGAATCTCTCTGAGTAAGTACCAGCCTGATGTACCCTACCTGCCCCTAAGAGGTCACTCATCCGCTCATCCTCTACCCCAGAGGCAGCTGTGCCAATTCCCTACCAGGCTCTTGGGACACACCCCCTCTCCTGAGCCATTGCTCCATTTCCTTCACTTCTTTGATTACTTTCTGCAGCCCTGACAGTTAAAGCCAGGTCCTCATGCATGGCAGGCACGCACTCTGTCATGACTTTCATCTCACTTTTCTGGGGGAAGAGGGTTTAACTAAGTGTCCCAGGCTGGCCTTGAACTCACTAAGATTGGCCTTAAACCTTTGACCGTCCAGTCCCAGCCTCCTAAAGAGTTGCAGTTATAGCCCTGTGGCGCCAGAGTAGCCCCACAAAACTATATTCATTCCATTCATCCTGTGGGTATTTCTTGAGCGCCCATTCTACCCAGGTACTCTTCTCGGCACTGGGTTTAGGGAACAGAAGAAGCTCGCTACCTTCACGGAGCGTAACACTCTAGGGACAAAGGACAAGGAAACATTGTGACATCTCAGATTTATAGAAAGGATAAGCAGCAAAAATAAAGCACAGAGTAGGTGCATGAGACATTGAGGGTGGTTAAGCTGCAAGGGAAACCAGCTAGGCTACATCTCCGCCTTTAGCCACAGATGCACTGACAGACTGATGCTCTGAGTTCTGTCTCTGGAAGAGATGCAGGGAGGAGGTGACTGGGCCATGCTCCGTGGGAGCACTGGCAGCAACAAGTAGCCATGCTCCTAGGCTTTTCTGGGAATGGCTACATGGGGCTGACTCCTGGGTGAAGGTGTAGTCCCGGGGTTCTTTTAGATTAAGTCTCACCTCGACCACCAAGAAGTCATGTGACCTGAACAAGTTCTTGGAGCACTTCCTGCTTGGTCCGGGGGATACCGAGACACTTTGTGTTTGTGGTTTTCACAGGGAAGCTGAAAACACAATCTCTGTGGATCGGCCAGTGGTAAGTAACTAGGTCCTTAGATATAAGATGATCTCTGGGGGGGGGGGGTCACATTCCCAGCCCAGGCAGGGGTAGGGGGGGGTGGAAAGGGGTATTGGCGAGGGACAGAAGGAAAACGATTCTACAATGGAAGAACCACTTGGTCGGTCAGAAGCCGGGAACATGGAAGAGGAGAAAGTGTTTTGTCAGTTAAAGGAAGGCGGCTGGACTTAGGAAGCCAAGGCAAGGGCAGCTCATGTTGGGCTATGAGGTTGGAGCACATCGGATTTCTCACTCAGAGAAAAGGAAGTGTGCTGGCTCAGGACCCAGGGTCAGAGCCTGGATCATTCATCTCCCACTTTGGTGACACGAACAAGTTACAGAACCCCTCTGACTCAGTTTTCTACTCTGCAAAGTGGGGATAATACTAATGCCCTGGCCATGCTTGTAGGGTTTAAATCAGTAAGCTCCCACATGAGGTGCGGTGTGTGAGCCACATGGGATTTCCAAGCTCTCCTCACATGTGTGGTTTGCATCAGTTTTTCCCAACATTCTAAGAAGTGGATGAGGTTGGCATCTCGGCTTTTCACAAGAGAAGGTGGTACCTCAGTAGGTTAAATGGCTTCCTGGCATTCCCAGAGGCAGGAAGTGTCAGGCAGGGGCTAAGAACTCAAGTTCAGATTCTCCTACCTTCTAACCTACAGAAGCACAGAATGTATGTGTGTGTGTGTGCGCACATGTGTGTATGTGTATGGTATGTATGTGTGTGTGGTGTGTATATGTGTGTGTGGTGTGTATATGTGTGTGTGGTGCATATGTGTGGGCATAATATGTATGTGTGTGGTATGTAGTGTGTGGTGTGTATGTATGTGTGGTGTGTAATGTGCAGGTGTGGTGTGTATGTGGGTGTGGTGTATATATGTGTGTGGTGTGTAATGTGCGTGTGTGGTGCATATGTGTGTGTGGTGTGTAATGTGCGTGTGTGGTATGTATGTGTATGTGGTGTGTATGTGGGTGTGGTGTGTAATGTGCGGGTGTGGTGTGTATGTATGTGTGGTGTATAATGTGCGGGTGTGGTGTGTATGTGGGTATGGCATATATATGTGTTGGGAGGGGTGGATTGAGGATTCTCAGGTTTGCTGTGGAGTTAGTGTGACTTGAGACAGGACAAACGCCCCACTGATTGCCTTTCATGTAGTGACTTCCCTGATCATAATGCTGACTCCGTGCTAGTGTGGGAGCCAGGCTCCTTCCTAGTCGCTGAACGTCGGATTTCAGTGTATCTTGTTCATTCTCGTCCTTTGGATGCTGTATCAGCGTAGCATATATATCAAGACACTTGAGTTGTACACTCAAGACTTCATGGTCTAGTGTGGATTGCGTTTTGGGGTCTGGGTTACTCAGTCTAGGGGTTGTAACCCACCCTTTATCAAGTTACTCCAGGGTCTCGGAGGGGCGCTACCTGGAAGGGAATGAGCTAAGACAGAAGAAGGAGGCCAAGCAGTTTTGTCAAAGCCTCCTTTTATTAGGGACGGGTTACAGTTTATATATGGTAAGGAATGGGGGGCAGGGTAACTGGATTCTTGCCACGTGTTCCAGGTCACGTAGGCCAGGAGGTAGGCTAGGAAGTCAAGTGGCCACACCTGGTTCCCTGGATAGCTGGAATGTGAGGCAGGTTCCTCTAAGAGATTGCTGTTAATTGGGTGAGGGGCATTCTGCAGACTCCCCAGGGTGATGGTTCCTGTAATGATTGTTAGTGGGGAAATGGCTCCTGACATATTCCCCCTCTCTTATATAAAGGCAAGCAGTTATTAAGTGGAGGGCACCAAGTCAGAGTCAACCCTGGTGTCAGATTTAAAAGAGAAGGGACTGGGACAAGTAGAAACCCTCCTCTCGAATGGTGAAGCAATTTACCTCTCCTGGGAACAGAGGGGTGCCTTATGATTAGCATTAGTTCCTTGGAGCTTCTCAAATAAAAGGTATCTAGCAAGAGTTAAAGTAAGCAGACCACAGGGCATCCTGTCTTAGGCTGTGTGGAGAGCTTTCCTCGTACCTGGCACCATGCCATGTTGAGCCGGCCTTTACAGCCTCTGTATGGTGTGCTATTTAGGTGAGGATCCACACTAACTCCCGTCATTGGGCGCCTGAGTCTATCATTAATGAAAAAACTATGAGGAGCTCCTCAAACAAAAGATATAATGATATAATTTTGGGCACCAATAGCTCCATTTTTAGACAAGAAGGAAGGGCACCTTCCAAACCCAGTATTCACCTTTTAGTCTGGCCTAAGGTATCCTCCTTCCTAAATGCCTACTCCACATTAAAATTATGAGTGCTGTTTGCCAAAAATTAGTGCAGTGTAAAAGGGGTCTAAATCTAAAATTTTTTAACATATGCACTAAACCCAAACACTTTAGAGCATGTGTCAACCTTTTCCAACATCTCTAAGCAGTTACAAATATCATTAGGTCAATTGCAGTAAGAGTACAATGACATACATTGTTGTTACTTAATACCACCAGTTCCAGTCTCTGAGCAACAGTGACAGGAACCCCAATCTTTCCCCTTCTTAAGTGAAGAGGCATTAATATTTTAATTAAAATGAGTTTTGTGTCCCAAGGATTAAAGCAGTTGTTTAGTCTGCATCTCAGCTTCAAAGCAAACCAGAGTTCAAACTGCAGAGGCAGTTCAGCATTTTTGCTTCAGGGCAGGTGGGATTCCTGGGTGAGGTGAGCTGGATTTAGCTATCTGAAGCACATCCTGGCACTTATCTCAGGCTGGACTCTGGAGACCGGATGACGTCCCGCAGAGTGGCGTAGCAGGTTCTGTTATCAGGAACTCTTCTCCTTGGGGGCAGGGAAGGCCGGACCAAGGACCTCTCCGCAACCGTCTCTGGAAGTCCTCTGTGGGATGTCCGCAGCCATGACTCAAGTCCAGATTTTTTCTTTTTGTGAAAAAAGCATAAACACCTCCTCGACCCCAAATATATATATATATAGGTCGGGTTTTTTTTATAATGCATTGAAGGGCTTTTTTACCTTGCCTTAGCAAAGGTCTGCTTGGTGTTATCAGGCCAGATCCGTTTGCATTTGGATCTGTTTGCAACTTCTATAAGTTGCTTTTAAAGAGTCTTGTTATGCTCCATAATATTTTTTTATTAACCATATATGCTGTTCCTCCATTGGAAGAGTCATTTGTAAAATTTTTTTATAAAATCCTTTAAGAGATTTTTTGCTATAACATTAGCAAAATACAGGTGTGTAAATTGTAACAATGATCTGGGAAAAGACCATTGTTTTTGGCCTTTGAATTGGGCAAAGGCAATTGTCCAGGAATCAATCTTAAAATTATCAATGAATCTATTGTTTAGGAAACATTGATCATAGTCAATATTCTATCAAACCATTTTTTTTAGATGTTATCCTGTCCTTTTATATCAGACAGGCTACTGTTTTAAATTAAGAGTTTAATATCTTAATTGGCAAAATTGAGAAGGTTTAGCCATAAACAGCATTTTTTATAAAACTGTTGTAGAATAAGTTTATATTTAATATATACATTTGTCATAGCTGAATTATAATTAATATACTGTATTTGTTGATTATTGTATACTTTACCTGTGATTTATACTTTATCTGTTTGAGTACCTGTTAGGCAGCTTTAAGCTCTCTATTGGAAACTGTTTTTTGTAAGAATTTTACCTAGCAGCTTAATATCTCTCATAAGAATATTATAAGTAGGGCTTTAACCATTGAATATCTAATTAAAAGTTTGTAAGCTATCCTCTTCTTAAGCTCCAAGTCTGCCTTGTAGATAGGAAAATGGAAAAATGAAGCATTTTAACTAATAATGTTGGCCTCACTAGACACCAACATGTAGAAAAATGAAAATAGATCTATATCCATCTCCATGCACAAAATTTAAGCCCAAATGAGCCAAAGGCCTCAGCATATAAAAATTTATGTTGAACCTTACAGAGAGAAATTATTTGAAGCGCATTTTGCCACATCCTAAACACGGCCTCAGTGGCACAAACATTGTGAGAAACCATAAATTATATCTCCTGAATTGAGAACCTTTTGTATAACAAGGCTATGGAGTGGGAAAAGATCTTTATTTATCATAAAATCCCTTCCAAAAATATGTGAAGAACTCAGGAAATTAGTTATTAAAAATTTAATCCAATAAAAATATTTGTTATAGACCTAAACTGAAAAACTTTCAAACGAACCCAAAAATGACTGAGAGACGCCTAAAAAATGTTTTTGAATATAACATCCTTTAACTGTCAGAGAAATGTAAATTAAAACTCTGAGATTTTACTTTATCCTTGTAAAAATGACCAAGATTAGAAATTATTGTTAACAATCTATGCTTAAGAAAACGTGGGTAGGGAAAAAACTCGCTGGAAGTGAGCTGCAGCCCGTGGCGGCAGCTGCGGCGCTGGGAGCGGTGACCGGTGTTGGAAGTACATACTGCACAGCCATCCCTGAATCACATACAGCACTGAAAAACCTGGATAAATCCAGACTCTCCCAGCAGGAAGAGAAAAATCAAAAATCCAGGACTAGCCTGTGAGGGCACCAGACCTCATTTCAGATGGTTGTGAGCCACCACATGGTTGCCGGAAATTGAACTCAGGACCTTTGGAAGAGCAGGCAATGCTCTTAACCGCTGAGCCATCTCTCCAGCCCTCTCAGCAGGAAGAGGAGAATCAAAAATCCAGGGTTAGCCTGTTTAGCAACCCTGCACCAGGAACTGAAGGCTGCAATCCTGAAAAACTAGTTTTTCAGCTGCAATTATCACAGTACTGTTTTAGGAACTAGCTGATTATGACCTTGGGAGTGGTCCCAAGAGGCAGGGAGCCTCCGTAGGTTTTTGAAATTTTTATGACCTTTTTGGACCACCGGGCTGTGGTCTTCTTAAAAATTCTTTTTCCTGGTCACTCGGGGTCAAACTCCTCCCCTACCAACCAAGGCCACGTGTAAGCGACCTCAGCAAGGACAGTCTTTGGTGAGCCGTGGGGGGGCCGCGCCCTCCCAAGACCTGAGTGAGAGTCTCCCCAGCATTGAGGGACCTCCATTATGTAAAATTAGGCAGATATCTACCTCAAAACTTAGCAGTACCCCTTTTGGGCCTAAATACAAAGTTTAACCATACCACAAGGACACGTGCTCTGCCATGCCCATAGCAGAACTACTTTATCATAGCTAGAATCTGAAAATAATCCCGGTGTACCTCTTTTACACCTAGGATAAATGAGACATCATCCTTTTAAAATATCCATGAATACCAGAAAACATCCCGGAGCAACTCCAAGCAAGCAGGACAGAAGTTTTTTGTCCCGTCATCTCTGCCTGTGAAGGCCGAAATGTTTTTTATTTTTAACCATTATCACTTGTAACTCTGGCCCTTGATAAATTTAGTGAGAGGCCTGAAGCAACACCTGGCAGCAGGAAAGAACCTCAAGCTGAAACATTACGACTCCCACCCAAGAGCTGGCCGTACAAATGAAAAACTTGTTGAGCTAAGACAGAAAAAGGAGGCCAAGCAGTTTTGTCAAAGCCTCCTTTTATTAGGGACGGGTTACAGTTTATATATGGTAAGGAATGGAGGGCAGGGTAACTGGATTCTTGCCGCGTGTTCCAGGTCACGTAGGCCAGGAGGTAGGCTAGGAAGTCAAGTGGCCACACCTAGTTCCCTGGATAGCTGGAATGTGAGGCAGGTTCCTCTAAGAGATTGCTGTTAATTGGATGAGGGGCATTCTGCAGACTCCCCAGGGTGATGGTTCCTGTAATGATTGTTAATGGGAAAATGGCTCCTGACAGTCTAAGGCATGGCATCCACAAGGCCCTAGATTCAACTCTAGCACTGCTTAGAAAGGGGAGGGACTTATAGGAGCTGGCTGTCCCGTGCGTACAGGGTCAAGGTAGGGATTTTAGTGTCCCTAGAGTGCTGGGATTAAAGGCGTGTGCCACCACTGCCTGGCAGGCTGTCAGTCTCTTGCTGTGGAGGGAGAAAGCTCCTCTCCCTTTCCCTCCACGCCCTTTGAAATTGTATTCTACTTGTTTGTGTACGTACATGCACACGTGGAGGTCAGAGGACAACTGTGGCAGTCAGTGCTCTTCTTTTGCCATGTGGTTCCCAGGGGCCACACTTGGGTTGTCAGGCTTGGTGGCAAGTGCGTTCACCCACTGAGCCATCTCATTGGCCTTCATACCCTTGTAAGTTCCAACTGATCACAGTATCTGGACCCCAGAGCCTCGAGCACTGGCTAGTCTAGAAACCTGATTTTCACCTATTCCCTGTTTGCTGTTTCCCTTTCTATGCAGAAAAAGAAAAAAAACAAGGTGAGTATAACAGGGTGAGTGGGCAGGGCACTGTGCATGTGTGTGAACACCCGCGCAACATGTGTGCATGTGTGTGCATTCATGCATTGTGTACACCTGTGCAACATGTATGTGTGTACACCTGTGCAACGTATATATGTGTATGTATGTACATGCATGCATGTGTATGTGCACCTATGCAACATGTGTGCATGTACATACACGCATGTGTATACCTGTACAATGTGTATGTGTGTACATACATGCATGCATATGTACACCTGTGTGACATGCATGCATGTGTGTGTACATGTGTGTCATGTATAAGAGTGCTTCTTCCTTCTCTCCTTGGAGCCTCTGTTGGGCTGGGTACCTTCAAGTACTTGTCATGTGTTACCTCCATCTCACAGTAATCCTAGGGCAGTGACTCCATTATCAGTCCTGTTTGTAGAGAGAGCAAAGGGATAGACAAATGGGTCTGCCTGAGGCACACATTTCCACCCAGCCGGAAAGAGACAAAGCCAGCACTGGAGCCAGGTGGTCCCCAGTCGGTGTTCTGAAACAGCACAGCCATCAGACAAGGTTTGGTACAGGTGCTTCTGGTGATCTGGGGAAGCTATTGCAGAGGTTCTAAGCTCGGGTGCTGATCCAGACAAGAGGGAACATATACTGTATGCTCTGCTTACAGCAGCCCCTGACCTCCTCCCCATAGAATAGCATCTACAACGTAAGTATCGTTTTACTTACATAGTACATCTATGGTTTCAGAAGTGAGGGTTCACATTTAGAGAAGTGAAGTGATGTGCCCAAGGGCACACATGGAGCAAGTGGGGACACTGGAACCAGCACCATATATGTCTACTCTGAATCCAGTCTCTTGTCCTCACCTCCCTAGTGCACCTTACACTCCAGGACTGGTGTTGTCAAGACCTGCATGCAAGCCTCTATGTGAATGGCTGGTAGAGATGCCCCGTGGCTGTGCCCTGCCCACTGGTCCCCTCAGTCTATCACTTCTGCCTGTTCAGAGATCCCCACCAGCTTCATTTGCCTGGGCAAGAGCTGTTGTTTAGAAGAGCAAGCTGGGGTCCAGGGCGCCTCCTGGAGCCCAAATTGGTGGAGCTGTTTTCCCATGTGTCGCCCTGGGCGGCCTAAACAGTATGGGAGGCCAGTGGGGCCTCCCTGGTCAGGCTGCTTTTGTGGCTGAGACTGCTTGCCTCCATTGTCACTGTCTGCCACTCTCTAACCCTTCTGTAGCCTCTGCTCTTGCACAAGCAGAACTTTAAAGTAACATTCCTGCTGCTGGAACTCATCTGGCCCCACAAAAACTCTATCAGAAGAAAAAGTTGGGTTTCCCAGCTTCAGTAACGGAGAGTGAATGAAGGCATTTCCTACACGAAGGAAAGGCTGGTTGGGGTGCTGACAAGCCACCAAACAGCACATTCTGAGGGGTCCCTTGGGTACCGGGGGGCTGGAGCCCTGCTCTCTGCTAGGATGGTCTTGAACTTGTGGTTATTCTCTCTGCTGGGATTATAATTGTGTGCCACCATGATGGATGAAAGGCAGGAAGACCTCGTTTTCCTTCGTTCCTTCCTTCGTTCCTTCCTTCCTTCCTTCCTTCCTTCCTTTGTTTCCTGGTTTTTAAGGAAGGGTTTCTACGTAGCTTTGGAGCCTGTCCTGGAACTCACTCTCAAGATCAGTCTGGCCTTGAACTCACAGAGGTCACCTGCCTGTCCCCCTAATGCTGGGATTAAAGGCGTGCGCCACCACTGCCTCATTTTCAATGGGTTTTACACTGGGGGAATTCAATGTTTTTTCATTTGAAAAATCCACAGTGTTTTATTTATTTATTTATTTATTTATTTAGTTAGTTAGTTAGTTAGTTAGTTTTTCGAGACAGGGTTTCTCCGTAGCTTTGGAGCCTTTCCTGGCACTAGCTCTTGTAGACTAGGCTGGCCTAGAACTCAGAGATCCGCCTGCCTCTGCCTCCAGAGTGCTGGGATTAAAGGCGTGTGCCACCACTGCCTGGCTAATCCACAGTGTTTTAAATCACTGATGTCTATCACATACTTTCAGCATTCTTAGAATTTTATATGAACGACTTTGTACTATCATGGGGAGAAATGCGGTTGGCGTGATAAAATAATGGGCCCGTTAATCTTATACTACACATTAATAATTTTTAGAAATATGAATAAAAGTGAGGAAGAACTGAGGTTCAAGCCAGTGCATGGTGTACTCAAGGTTAGCTTGGGCTATGTAGTGAAATTCAGCTGCAAACAAACACCACACACACATACACACCACACACACACACCACACACACACACATACACACCACACATACACACACATACACCACACACACACACTCACACACACACACATACACACACACACACGACCAGAGAGATTCGGCATCTCTCCCCAGTCGCACAGCCTGTCAGTGCAGAGACAGAACTTGAACCGAGACTCAGGAGTTCCCGAGTGTGACCATTTCCTCCTCACTGGACAAGGCTGCTCCAGGCGGGAGGCTGTCTCTGGTGCCTATCAGCCTGTAATCCTTGCTTTCTTCCTGCCCTCTCCATCCCCCCCCCCTCCCCTCCCCAGCCCATCATCTTTGTTTCAGACAGAGCAAACAGCAACAAGGAGCTGGGTGTGGACCAGGAGGCAGAGGAGGGCAAAGACAAAGCAGGGCCCGATAAGCAAGGGAAAGCCCCACAGGTTTTTGAGCATGTGGCGTGGATGGGGAGTTTAGCTGGCAATGGGGTTCTGCTATGCTCTAGGGGACCGTGGGGGTTACGGCCACTCCCAGGGAGGATCTCTTCAACATAGAGGGGTTTGGAGTCACCCCCTCAGCAAGTTTCTTTGAACTTCGGGGTACTTCTTGGGTAAATGTCTTCAGGTCGGCTGCCACACCAAACTGGTCCCTGGACGGGAATGGCAGGACAGCCTTCTGGAGATCAGAGAACAGAGCTGAGACAGGCCTGTTGGAGAGTTCAGAGCTGTTGACAAGGGAGGGAAAAGGAAGGTAGCAGAAAGCGGGGCGACGGCGGGGGGGGGGGGGCAGCAGCCATGCAGTCCTACAGAACTCCGGGGGCCATGTACTCTACCCAGAAGTACCCACATAGTGGGCTGGACCGAGGCTCCTGTAAATACTTGGCCACAGAGACAGAGGCGGCTAGAGGACCTGACTGGAAGAGCCGGGCTCCAAACAGTGGAGAGGGTGGGGAGAGGATGGAGGATGCTATCTGCATGTTGGCATGGCGAAGGTGTCCTTTGGCCAGAGGTGCTGGGCAGGGCTAGAAAAGCAGAGGGCAGAGCTGCTGAACCGAGGACGGTGCGGCGGGTCCACTGAGAAAATAAGCCTGCGCCAGCTACTTCCGCTTTGTGGGGCTGTTTGGGACTGAGACCCGGGTTCCTATGAACCGGTCTTCTGTGTCCCCACAGGCACGGCCTGGCCACACAGACCAGGAGACTGAGGAGCAGCAACAGTTCCGGAACATCTTCAGGCAGATCGCAGGCGATGTACGTGTTTTCCTCCTAGCCCCACCCAGGCTCCCAACTTAAGTGACCCACTGCTTAGCAGAGGATGTGGGTCACATCACAGAAACCTGTGCCTTTGTGTTTGGGACTAACACAGCTACTGGGTTGTGAGCTGCTTGCTACAGCCGAGGGTGCAGAAACTGGCCTGCCTTGCTCAGAAAAGCCCCAGCTTCCACGGCAGAAGAAAAGGGATCTTACAAGCATGGGCAGCTGGGACTGGTCCACTGGTTGCTCTGCCCTTCACAGTTCTCCTCTCCCGCAGGACATGGAGATCTGTGCAGACGAACTCAAGAACGTCCTGAACACAGTGGTGAACAAACGTGAGGGACTCACGCCAGATGCGGGGGATGGGCAGGGGCCACAGCTGTCTGAAAGCAGCTCCTCACCCTTCTCCATCCCCCCAGACAAGGACCTGAAGACACAAGGGTTCACTCTGGAGTCTTGCCGAAGCATGATAGCTCTCATGGATGTATCCTTCCGGCCACCATCTCCAATCCTCTTCCATCTGTCCATAGAGTCAGGGGAACAATTAGGGCTGTCCATGCCTAGGGAAAGGCTTAAGGGGATCCTGACTCAGGCCATCCTGGCCTGGCAGGGATGGTTAGGGAAGGATACTGGGTTCTGGCTTGTCGTCATCTTCTGTCTTATCAGAGGCCTGAAATCCTGTTTGGGATGCTGCCCAAACAAGGATTATTCTTAGGGGACAGGCTCAGTGGGCAGTAGAGATGGCAGGAACTCTGATTGGTTAAGGACGGAGGGGAAGGATAGAACCTGGGATCAGGAGCAAGGTAGAGAGGATGCTGGTTGCTCCGCCTTCCTGCATAGTACCCTAGATTCCACTCCCAGTTCAGGGGATCTTTCTATGTGCCTGTGGCCCTGACATCCATCCTCCAGACAGATGGCTCTGGGAGGCTGAATCTGCAGGAGTTCCATCACCTCTGGAAAAAGATCAAGGCCTGGCAGGTAGGACAGGAGTCTAATATGGGAGTGGACAGGGTTAACTTGGGATTGTGTGTAACCGCTATCTTCGAATTTTCTATTCTCAGAAAATCTTCAAACACTATGACACAGACCATTCCGGCACCATCAATAGCTATGAGATGCGAAACGCGGTCAACGATGCAGGTGCTGGGGGCAGAGGGCATAAGATGCAGACCCGAGACCTGTGAAAGCAGGATGGGATGGGCCACTACTAGGGTCTTGGTTGAGAGAGGAGGGGGAGTGTCTCCTTTCCCAGGCCAGGAAGAGAGACTGCAAGCCTGCGAACTTCACTCCGGTTTCCCTCCCTGCCCTTCCTAGGCTTCCACCTCAACAGCCAACTCTATGACATCATCACCATGCGCTATGCAGACAAACACATGAACATCGACTTTGACAGTTTCATCTGCTGCTTCGTCAGGCTGGAGGGGATGTTCAGTAAGTGTCCTAGTTAGGGCTTCTACTGCTGTGAAGAGACACCATGACCACGATGCTGGTTATGTACTGCGTGGATCTGTGCTGAAGGTCAGCAGGGCACAGGGGCTTCTTCAGTCACAGATCTGAGCATTCAGGTAGTGCTCACTCGTGATCCCGCAGGTAGCAGAGATAGGAGGATTATGCTTTTAAGGCCAGCCTAGGCGCCATGGATAGACCTTGGCTCAATAATACAAGGGCTGGCAAGATGACTCAGCTGCATGTTGTCTGGTGACCAGAGTTCAATGGCTGAAAGCCATGAGGTGGAAGGCAGGAACCAATTTCAGAGCTGCCCTCCAACCTCTACATGTGTTCTGTGATGTGCCCGGAAGCACACACAATAATAAACTCTTTAAAAAAAGCAAACACAAACAAAGCCAAAACCCTCAGAGGAAAGCGCAAACGATCGTGGCAGACAGTGACTGGCTTTTGGCCCATGCTTCTTTCACACAGGAGCTTTCAATGCATTCGACAAGGACGGAGATGGCATCATCAAACTGAATGTTCTTGAGGTAAGCATAACAAACAGCACACCCTCCGCACCACACAACCAAGGCAGAGTGACCCTGTGTGCGCCTCACTCCCAGACAGGGACTTGAAAGGGGGCCTAGTGGTTCCTGGGGCATGTGTACCACGAGGCCTTTGTCCCCCAAGTTGCACTTCCAGAAAACACTCTCTTAGAAAAGACCCAGGAAAGGGAGCAGGATGCTCCTTTTGGGACCCTGCCCTTGTCTGCTTCCCGACGTGAGAGATCCTGGGGCTGAACCGGTTCTCTGCTTGTTTCTGTACTGATGTGGGGTTTCCTTTCAGTGGCTGCAGCTTACCATGTATGCCTGAACCACAGGCCTCATGCAAGATCAACCAGGACTCCAACCCAACCCAGCTACCCAGCTAGAGCCATTGACCACAAAGAATCCGGTAGAAGCCTAGGGGGCTTCTGGTCTTGTTCCTTCTCCACTATGCCCCCAAATCTTTGTATCCAGCCTGATGCTCGGGAGAACTCTCTTTGTCACCCGAAGGCTAGTGTCTGTCCGACCTAGATGCAGCCCCACTGCTGATTCTGAACTGCCCACTTAGCTTACACTGGGCTGTCTACAGTACCTGCTAGAGGTACTCACAAACACAGGAGCCCAGTCACCAAGTCTACATCCAGTTCTGCCAGTTTTAGGATGGGTTTACTCTGGGGTAAGCAGGGCAGATACTTTGGGGTATCTGACAATTTGGCTGGGTTCTGAAAAAAGCTATCTAAATAAAGGCACATGTATGGCTGGTTCCAGTTTTCTTATCACTTCTCAGCCACAGCATGACTGTCTTCCAGATATACTTTTATTTATCACCTCCACAAAGACCTAGTTTGAGGCTAGGGAGATGATTCAGTAGACACAGGCATGGAGGACCCCAGTAGAGACCCCTAAAGTCAAGTGTGGCAGCTCACACCTGGAACTCCAGTACTGGAGAGCAAAGACAGGGATTCTACAGACCTGCTGTCCAGCCAGTCGAGTCAAAGGGACAGTATATAAGGTGGAGGTCAGGCAGTGGTGGTCCGCGCCTCTAATTCCAGCACTTGGAAGGTGGAGGTAGGAGGATCTTAGTGGGTTAGAGGCCAGCCTGGTCTACGAAGTAAGTTCCAGGACAGCCAGGACTGTGTCTTGAAAAACCAAAAAAGCCTACTGGAGGAGTGATCCTGTACTCTCATACCAAAGCGAGACAAAGAAAGGGGATCCTTGGCCTGATTGGCTAGTCTAGCTGAGCTGGCAAGTTCTGGGTTAAAGGGAGAGACACCTGGGCTTTCATGAGAAAGGTGGAGGCTGCAGCAAGACAGTATCAACCTGACCTCCACAGGCATGCGCACACCTGCACACAGGGAGATGGAGGAAAGCACCCAAAGCCGATCTGACCCCCACACCTGCACACACGTATACAACACAAAGAAAACCCTGTATAGAATCGGGTGGTGGTGGCGCACACCTTTAATCCCAGCACTTGGGAGGCAGAGGCAGGCGGAGTTTGGAGCCAGCCTGGTCTACAGAGCAAGTTCCAGGACAGGCTCCAAAGCTACACAGAGAAATCCTGTCTTGAAAAACAAAACAATAAAACCCTGTTTAGCCTATGGATATTCCTGATTCTGTTAGGTACTGGAAAGGTTGGGTCTGGTTAGTGTATTAGTGGGGAAAAGCAAGCTCTAGTTTCAGGATAATATAGTGGGAAATACATATAAAATCAAAGGCTTGAGTCTTACTGAAATCATGCCTACTACCTTTTCTTTGAATCTGTTTTATGTCTATCAGTGTTTTGCCTGCTTTTATGTCTAAGCAACTCTTATATGCCTCGTGCCTGTGGAAGGCAGAAGAGGGCATCAGATTCCCTAGAACTGGAGTTAGAGATGGCTGTGAGTCACGTAGGTGCTGGGAACCACAGCCAGGTTCTCTGGAAGAGCAGTCAGTGCTTTTAACCCCCGAGCTACCCCTCCAGCCCCACGACTGCTAGTTCCCGAGCACAAGGACCACTCAAATCTTTTCCAGGATTGCTGATGTAGAGCACACATGGGCAGTAGAAGGTGAACGGGGATGATCAAAGTACATATGTATGAAATCATGAAATAAACTACTTATTTATTTACAGACATGGTTTCTCTAGTCCTGGAACTTGTTTTGTAGACCAGGCTGGCCTTACTGAGATCTGCCTGCCTCTGCCTCCCAAGTGCTGGGATTAAAGGCGTGTGCCACCACTGCCTGGCAAAGTAAACAAATTTTAAGTCAAATAAATGGGCAGCAGGATGGGCCAGTTACCACAGGTTGGTGCAGGAGAGAGGTGATTGTTTTCATTCCAGCTCCTCTGCTCACAGGCCTGTCTGACGAGAGCACCATGTTTCCTGCTCACTGTCTGTTCTTTATGCCAAAGTGAAAAAGGCTCTTAATTATGAAAACACAAAGTAACAAAATGAACACTTAGTAAAAGTACTTTATTTTCTTCTTGTATTTGCTTTATATCTCACTTACAAAGTTATGAAGTTCACAGCTTTTATACCAAAACGTAAGAAGGCTGTTTAGAAATATCTTTGCAGTCAAACGTCACCTGACATTTCTTCTAATCCATATTTAATGTTGGAATACAATAAGAAACCAAGTTGCTGGGCAGTTCTGGGCATTACTCCCCCCACGGCCTTTCCTTTCTACCCTCTGCCAGCACTGGGCTACTTCTGGGCCTTGTCCTAGGGCTGGAGGTGAAGAGAAGGTTGCTGTGTGATGAGCAGTAGGTTAATCTTACACACATCTGCATATGGAAGTGTGGGACCCCACCCCCACAACAGCTTCTTCCTTTCTTACCTACTGGGCCACCTCCCTCAAACCCAAGGCTCTCAATGACAGGACAGGGATGAAACCACTACAAGTACAGCCTTAATAGTTAATCCTAGAATTCTCCTTGAAGCAACAGGAACAAATTTGTTATGTAAGTATAAGCAAATCGCAGCTATTTAACCAAACCACAAGATCGGTGTTGTTCAAACTCTACTTCACGATATACCTCAATTTCCTTCCCAATGAATTATCTTCCATGAGATAATACTGTCATTCTTGTAAGTGTGCACCTACACCCAACAACTCGGCCACATGCCCACACACTGAAATTGTCCCATAGATAAATCTACCAGAAACAAAAGAGAACAAAACCAAACCTTGGTTGGCAAGAGTCACTTCAATCACAAAAAGTATTGGCTTGGTTCTGTGTAATTCATGAATTCAAATTTTCAACGACTAACTCTCCCGAATAAAACATTTGCCTCACAAAAGTAACAAGTGTAATGCTAAATAACAACTTCTCAAACTTAAGTAATGTCAGAATGACATGTCTTGCCCTTTTTAAATTTGCATTGTTTACAGTTGAGCAAAATATGTCAATATGTGTTTTGAACCTACGTGAAAACTTTAAAAAAAAATCAAAGTGTTTGGTATTTTATTAGAACCGTCACTGTAAACACAAAAGGATTTTTTTAAAAAAGATTTTCTTTGCTTTGAGCTGCTGGACTAGGCACAAAAGATTAAAAACATTAAAAATGACCTGCAAGTACTCCCAAGAAATGTCTTGGGTTTGTCAGGCTATTAGTCACTTCCTTCATCAAATCAGCAGACCCGAGCTACCCCCTTTAGGGGAACTGGAGGCTGATGTGAATGAAAGACTTAGTGAACAACTTACGCAGGAGTCACACTTCTGTCTCCTGCAGGCAGCCGCAGCCGAGGAGCCACATCCTCAGCGCCACACTAGGCTGCTCAACCCGGAGAACAGTTCTCAATCCACTGCTTCAAAGAGACCCTTGTGAAATGAGGACACGCCAGTGCAGGCGCACGCATGTGAGCGCACACACGCACACGAGCGAGCAGACAAACACGTGCACACAATGCCACCAAGTTCCTACTGATCCTGCTGAACAGCATGCCCTTAAGCCCTCAAGCGGTCCCCACTGCTGGTCAGCACCTGCCACTCTTCTTCCCTGCTGCACACCAGCTCCGCCACCCTCATCCCTTCCTGCACTCCCTAGGTGAACAGGAACCTGTGCTTCTTTAGCACACTGCCCTGCCTATGTGGAAACCCGGGAGATGCTGTAGTCCAGAGAATGATGCAGGCTTAGCAACAAACCCACATGAGCTTTCCTAAGTAATCACTTCCCAGACTCACAGAAGTGTGTGGTCCTCTGGTCACCCTTACAGGGCGTGGAGGTGAGAGGTGGGGAAGGTTTTTAATCTTACACAGAAATGGCATAATTATGCTTTGTCAGTAAGATCTCAGCAGCAGCCATGGTTCTCTTTACATCTAAGCCATGTGGTCAACAAAAGTTTTCCCAAACAATAGTCACTCGTGAGCTATCATCAGCCGCTAGATTCATTCTTAACATTTTCTGGATCCAGTAAGAACTACTGGAACCATTCCAAGGGGGAAAAAAAGACATACTTAGTCTTCCATGCAATTTCAGAGGATTCAGACTGGCTTGCAGCCCATCCATCAATCCCTGGTGGAGTTGCCCTGCCCTAGAGCCTATGGAGAGGTCTGATCAGGCCAGGTACAAAAACAGAATCTGCAATCCTAGTACCAGAAAGCATTGCATCCTGAAGCTAGGAAGTGTGGTATGAGGGTCCTCTCCCTCTGAAGAACCCGAGTTTTGAGAATCCAGAAACAAAAGATTAGAAAGTAACACTTGTTTAGTTTTACATACAAGTCTCGAGACAATCCAAGCCCAAAGCAATCCTGCTAAGGCACGTGACATGGGTGCTCCCAACGGCTGCCTTTCCTTCACTGCTCCAGTGTCTGAGTGGCACAGATGTGAGGCAGACACTGCTTCAGAAGTCACATCTCTGAATCTAGATGCTTTCCCCAGCTCCCCTATCTAGGGAGCTGCAGGAGGGGTGAAAGCACCCATGAGCCCCCTGTGCCATTGCTTTAGGCACAGCAAGGTAGTCAGAGGTGGGGGCCGGCCACAGAGCAACCCACAAGGCGTCCAGGCTCTGTGGACTCTGAGAGCCAGATGCTGGAAAGGGAATGAAGGTAGACTTCAGTTCGAGCGGCAGTGCCTGCAGCAGTGAAGGGGCGCCACACTGAGCACCCTGGAGTGGTTTAAAACACTAGAAAGGCTGTTTCTTGGGACTCTCCATGTTTTGTTCCTACAGCCAGCTCTGTCCATCTACAGAGCACTCACTAGTGAAACACTGCACATAATTATCAAAAAGAAAATGATTGCTTCAATTTTAAATACCCAGTTATCTCAAAAGAAGAAGTTAAAACTGATCCTGAACAACCTATCATAAGCCATCATACGAACATAAAGCAGAAATGAAAAATGGAATCAATAAAATATGTGTATGATTAGGGTCAAACTGGGTAACAATTAAAATCTGATTCTTTAATAAACAACTATAATCTACTAGCATAAATCACTGTCATCTCTCCCAGAAGAACCTGGTTCCTTAAAATCTGCTTAAACAGCACCCTTACACGCTCCAGCACAGACTTGAATTGTATGTAACCTATCTTCCCACAGACTGCCCAGACTTTGCTAGTGGTAGGTCTGGCTGTGAGCCTCACTGGAGGACAGAGCAGCCTGTGGGAGGGCCAATGTGAAAACAGTTTACAAATGACTTCCCAACATGGGAGGCAAAAAACTTCACGAGTCCATTTTGCTGTCATCTTCAGCATGTCGTTCAATATGTCCTGCAACATCCTAGGAGGAAGAAAGAAAGGGCCATGAGAAACAAGCAGGCAGCCGAGCAGCAGAAAGTTAATGCTGATAACCACAGGAAACTATACATCTCCCCTTAGCACAAGAGCACAAACCTAAAGACTCTGCTTAACTTCTTTTTTTTTTTTTAAATATTTATTTATTTATTTATTGTGTATACAATATTCTGTCTGTGTGTCTGCCTGCAGGCCAGAAGAGGGCACCAGACCTCATTCCAGATGGTTGTGAGCCACCACGTGGTTGCTGGGAATTGAACTCAGGACCTTTGGAAGAGCAGGCAATGCTCTTAACCTCTGAGCCATTTCTCCAGCCCCCCTGCTTAACCTCTTTATTAAAAACAGACCAATTATTTTTTGAAAACCCTGTTTAGTTAACTCTCAAATTCCTGAGCAATAAAAAGGAAAATTCCTAGCCACTCCCTATTTCTTGCAATCCTGAACACCTTAAAAGACAAACAGGGTTTACTGGTCTTTGCTCTAAGCCAATGATCTCAATCTGTGGGTCACAACCCCTTTGGGGGTTGAACAATCCTTTCACCTGGGTCATATATCAGATATCCTGCATATCAGATATTTATATTATGATTTTTAACAGCAAAATTATAGTTTATGAATAGCAATGAAAAAACTTTTATGATTGGGGTCAGCACAACATGAAGAACTGCATTCAAGGGTCACAGCATTAGGAAGGTCGACACCACACTTGGCTAAAATATCTGCTGAGCCCAGGTTGGTCCAATCCCGCAGAAATACCTGCTTGGATCCTTTCCTAGCTGTGAAAAAAGCATCACAGTTCTTCCAGCGACACTTCAGCGTCTGAAAGTTCGGATTGGTGTGGTCAGTGAGCAAGTGTTGTTTTAAGTGATCCACAACACCAAATATCAGAGTACAGCCATGCCACTGTAAGAAAGGATGGGAAGGACATGAGCACAGGAAACACACATACACGTGTCCACACACAAACACCTTCATCCCCTCTTGCTGCATACTCTGGTTGGCCTAAA